TAAGAGTTTTAATCCATTTCACGAACAAGAAAAAAGGATTCATATATATTGTGCATTCATTAAAATCTAAATCATTTTTTCTTCAAATATGTTATAAGTCATCACTTCATTATATGGCATGTTTGCTTATGTCAATGAAGAGTTCTTTATTTTATGCATACTCTGTCAGCCACTTATGTAAAGGAAGCAACGTAGTAAGAAAAAAAATAACAAAATCAAAATTGTCTGCCTGACAAAAATATATTTCTACAGGAGGAGAGAACAAAACTTGAGCAAATTTTTTCATCTACTCAGATTAAAGTTTCAAATTTCATTTTATTACTGTACACGCTTCAAGAGGCAGATTCTAATTTTGATTTTAATCAAGACAATAAATTAACACATTTGCTTTACATAGAGTAGCTCGAAATATTGACTGTTTACTTTTCAACAAAACTGATTTCAAACTAAAATATTTCGTTGAAACAAGGACATGTTGCTGTTATTGTGGATCTATATCGTACAATATCCTAGTCAAAGTTGAAAATATCTTGCCTAATTAGTTTCATAATGATGAATAATCGTTCAAAAGAGCTTCAAAATAGTTTTGTATTGAAATATAAATGGTCGCCAGATAAAAATACTCTTAGCGCAATTCATGAGAGATTAAAATGCGAAACACAATGTAGCTACTGTTGACTATCATAGGGAGATTATTTTATTCTATCTATTTTGGAATACGTTTTTTTAGCATATTTTTGCTTAATTCTCCAGAAATGCAATAAAATAGTAGTTCATATGTGGTCTTTGATCGAATACCAACGACGTCTATCACGGTCTGCGATGAAGAATGGACGTTCCATGAGATGTACGTCGTTTTTGTGATGTGTCGTTGCTAATATGTCTGCCATATTTGTCATGAAGTATTTCTAACGTGCCTGTTACAGTCTGTGAAACTTCCCTGGCAATATCTGTCATTGTTTGTGGGAGGTACACATATCTACCATATATAAATAGATCAACATTTGCGTTAGATTGCGTTTTTGAAAAAAAGATATTTGAATAAGTTGAACTATTTAAGATGTATCGGTATTGTTTTTGACAAGGAAACTTTTCGACAAACTCTATTTCGCACAAAATATAGATAAAGTTGTTTCATGTGTTCACAAAGCGTTGTTGGCTCGTACATTTAATTACAAAAAAAAACAATTTGTTTCGCTTATTTTTCTCTATCCACGATGCACTCTTCACTTGTGACATTTTTGCTGAATGACCGTAAGTTGTAGGATTTTGTCGAGTGTTGCATAAAGAAAAAAACAACACACATCTCCTTAACTACAGTGCGATCCTTTATGCTTGAAAAAAGTGTATAGCATTATTAGGGCTTCAACCCCTGCATTACATTGTGTCAGCATCAATTGTTAATTGTATTTTTTCAAATTTTATTTCATTTTCATCGAAAGCATTGAAATTTCAATATCGTCTCTAAATTAGATTTTTTTATTATTTGTCTGAGAATCAAAACTTTTTTCATATTTCACAACGAAATGAAAAATCTCTCTTTGTATAAATACAAGCTTTGTGCAAAGCGAATGGCACATCTGACAGGTTTGACTAGTTCTTCACATTACTGAAGTTTCGATTCATATTTTCACCACGAATGGATGATTTGAAACAGTCTATTCTGAGAAATTAAGCAGAAGATAGCGAGAATTTATGGAGAACATCACAACTGTTTCGTAAGTACTCATATGAGTATGTAACAAGTTTGTTTTATTTTTCTCGCCTTTGTAATTTTTCTCAATAGTCTTTAACTTCGATATTTGCAAAATAAATAGCATTTCTTGAGTCTTTTGTTTCTTTCAACCACTTTTCTGCTGAAAGCTAGGAGAAAAACCTATAGAATCGTATTCATTTTGTAAACGGTGACGTTAACCGACATTGACACAAGAAAAACAAATGCAAGAAAAATATATATTTCGCTGTAGCTACTTATGAGTACAGAGCATGTCTCAAAATGACTCGCTCAGTCCGAATTTGATGTCTTTTCTCATGGAAGATTTCATAAACAAGGAGAAAGAAAAATTTTCGCAATGTGATCGTTGAGATCCATCGTATAGAGACCCTTTTGTAAAAGCAATCAGTTTATAACAGTGCCATTCTAAATTGAATCGGGTCGGCCTGACCGGACGAACAAAAAATGGCTCGATTTCGAGGCCTGATACAGAGACACAATACCAAATGTCTCAGTATATTTTCGTCGTTCATAGCTAAAGCTTTTAGAATAGGCTGAGCTGAAGTTCACGTATCTAAGGCGAAAATATGAATCGAAATCGTAATAGTGTGGAGAGGTAATCACACAAGTTCGGTATTTGGTATATTTCATACAGTTGTTTATTAGTTATTCAGGTTAAGTTTAAAAAAACTCCGCCCCAGATTTGAAATAGAAAATAGATCTTTAGAATAAATCCATAATATATAGTTTATAATAATGAAAAATTATAAAGACTCCCAAGACCTCCGTTAATGGATCATAGAAGTCTACAGGGTATAAGTTCGTTCTTTGTGGGATGCACCTTCCCATCGTTACTGTTTGCAAAAACAGTAGGCGAGCCTTTTTTTTCTAAATACAGTTTGAAGTAAAAACAACATAGACTCGTTTGTTCTACAGAGAGCGATATATATATATATACTAGCTGAAGTACCCGGCGTTGCCCGGAAAAATTCAATATTGCACGCCTGACATATTGGAAAACGGTGGTCTTGTGGTTTCCTATAATCTATCGATCTTGGATGTTGCAAAATACGCTCAGATCTCTTTCCCTTTTCAACTTTGTTTTGGATAGAGATGGGCGCGACCAGTGTTTTCCGGTCCTGATCCCGATCCCAGTCAAAAAAATTTCGGTTGTGGTCCCTTCTCGATCCCGATCAATAAAATTTGGTCTTGGTTAAAAAAGAATTCAGTGCTGGTACCGAAGCTAGCAGACGTTTTGTCAGTATAGAGCTTAAAATTATCCTCTACCACTGTCTATAAGTTTGAAACATCCTGCTGCTATGCTGTAACCGATTTAATGGCTAATATCCTCCTCCTTAGATGCTCAATTAGACATGAATAGGGCCAATTATTTTAGTTTGATTGCGGTCGAAAACAAATTTAGTCCAGATCCCGATGAAAAATTTAGGACTGGGATCGGGACCACTTTGCCCATCTCTAGTTTCGGCATTTTAATATTTTTTAATCTACATCAGTTTGAAGTTAAAAAAAGCTTCTTTGTAAAACGTTGTCATCGTTTTGAAACATTTTTGTGGAAAACTTGATCAAAACAATATTACTGATCATTAAAGTATCCTAACATCCGACTGGTCAGAAAATCGACCAATAAAATTTGAGCTTACTTTCATACCCTAGAATCTCTTGTGTCGAATGGCGAAAACCGCAGGTCTTTATCTCTTTTCGTTCTCGAGTTCTCGAGAAGACAGCCGCACACACGGACTTTTAGGATGGGACACTTACTATAGTGCTCCAACACCGGGGTCACTAAGTACGTCGGAGATAAAAGTTTTTGGTTGAAAAGTAGCCATTGACCAATGGCAGTGCGAAGATATAAAAGCAAAATGCAAGTACCTCAGAAATTAGAGAATATTTTCGACATTTAAAAAAAAAAATCCCAAAATATTTCCACCATTTTTGAAAACTAGGGGAGCTTTCGCCACCCATCTCCTTTCGCCTCCGTCGATCGCGTCTTGACCTTCCCCTGGATCCAAGGGTGTGCCATGCAAAGTTTGGCTGTTCTAGCTCCTACAGGGACTAAATGCATAAAGAACAAACATACAAAGAAACAAGCAAACTTTCTTCTTTATATATTAGATATAGCGACCGTGTTTCAAACAAAGCGATCTCTGTTAACAGACACCGCCTAACACCTTCTAAATAACTTCGAAAAGTCGCTTTGAAAATCACTCTGATAAATCCTTTCAATGAAAGCTTTGAATCATTTCTACATTAGTTTGGAGTTAAAAAAGCTTCTTTTAAAAGTTGTTATCGTTTTGAAAAATTTTCGTTGAAAACTTGATTAAAAGAATAGAATCGAGCTTAATAGACTTCACATTCTTAATGTCCTACCTCCGATCATCGAGTGATATTTGTTTTCTCAAAAACTCGATTCCTGTTGGTTTCAGACCAACCAATAAGATTTCGAGGCAAATGGGCCCCAGATTCAAGTTCAGCACCCTCGAAAACCCTAGTTACATGTTTTGTGCTTGCTCATAATGCGCTGCTCACTAGTTCCCCGATACTACCGAATGCTGCAATCTCATTGGTCAGATACATAGGCGGGTCTGTTGCAAGCAGAGGACCGATGTTTTTTCGACAAAAAGTAGTCGTTGACCTCCTCCTGAATGAGAGGATGGTCCCTGAAAATTTTTGTTGCATTTACTCGTACCGTATCCAAATGCATGAAGAGCAAACAGACAAACAAACTTTCTTCTTTATATATATAGATAGATTAGAGAATCTTCGGTTTTCACAACCTGGGTGGACTTTCACTTGACTTTTCCGCGGTCGTGCATGGCATTGCAAAAATCAGATTAAATTCTCCAAAATTTCTGAGAGATTAGAAAATTTTTTGCAGTTTTTCAAAAAACGGAGGGAGGATTTCTCACCCCACTCTTCGACCTTCCCCTGAACCTAAACATATGCCATGGAATGTTTGATGACGCTAGCTTGTACGGGAATCAAATGCATAAAGAACAGATTTGAAACATTCGCAAATTTTCAGCAATATTTTGAAAAAATGTGAGGGGATTCTCCCTCCCAACTCCTTCGGGGTCGCCGACCCCCTCTCGACCTTCCCCTAGACCTAAGGAAGTGCCATGGAAAGTGTGGTGACGTTGGCTCTTACAGGGACTGAATCCATAAAGAACAGACAGACAGACAGACAAACATTGTTCTTTATATATATAGATACCATATATAGATTGAACGAAACACTAGCAATCTCTTTATTGGATCGTACTATATAATGCGCCTCGCTTTTTTTCTGCTGTTGCTGATCAATGCTCGATTGACTATTGCTGGATCGAGCAATTCATTAGACGATTGCTATACACTCGCTGCAAGATTTGATACAACATGTGCTGTAAATATGACTGCAGTTCCACCTATTCTTTCTACAACTGGAGTTAACGTGACATGCACAAGTGGTTTTAGTAATTCAACATGCCCAGGCAATTGGGAAAATGGTACGTGTGCATTTGCTCATAAACTGTGTGTTACATGCTCTGCCGATGCTCCAGTTCGAATTCGTGTACAAACTAATGGCTTGCCACGATTTTGTCCTAATGCACCACAACCAATATCCGAACAAAATATTGATTTTACTGTCAATTTCAATCCGGATGTTAATATCAATTCATTAAATTACAATCCAACTAGTGCCGCAGAATTGAATGCAATCGTTTGTAATTTGAGTAGCCAAACGTTAGCTCCATCAACATCGAACCTAATGATAAACGGTGATTCATTGAACACTCTTGCTGCTGTTAGTATTGACGGTGTACCCATTTTGAATGTCAACAGTGCCAACAATACCGATCCATTCTATCCTCCCGGCAACATTTCAGTTGAAATCGTCGATACATGCTTAGGTCAATCAAATCAGCAGAACATGTACCATTATCACATCGGAACGGCTTGTGCTTTAACAAAACCAAATGGAAGCATTGCGCAGTGTGCAAATAGGCCATCTTGCTTCACAAATATTGCAAACTACAGTATCTCATCATTTGATCAATATCGTACTTTGATCGTGACAGGAATAGCGAAAGATGGCCACATTATTTACGGTCCTTATGACACAACAGGCACCGAAGTGAGTATGCTGAATCTAGAAACTTAGAGAGTTTGATCGCTATCAAATCTAGTTTTCCCAGATTCTAAAGCGCTACATATATACAACACTGTACTTTAGAGACGTAGTCTTCTTCATAGATATCCCATCCTTTCGAACACAAGTGACATTGACATCATCCCACAACATAGTATAATTCTATCGCTACTTCATAATCATACGAATCGGACAATACAACCCCTAATCGAACTCCTGCAATAACGTCACCATGAAAAAAAGAAACACGAGCATTCTCTCATGCACTGTAAGCCACATACGTTACCACCCACGGTAGTCACATAGAAGGCACCATCCTTACAGTGCATCCCTTTCCGATGATACTACACTAAGTTCACCAATCCTACAGTGACACTTTTTTTCGTCAACATACCGAACCACCCTTTTCTCCCGAATCGTTTGAATATTACCTTTCAAGGTACGAAACGGCACAGACATCTGCAACGGAATGTTCCACGATTCCATCGGTAACTACGCTTACTTTACAACCAGAACATATCCATACATAACAGGCTGCTTCGGTCCTGCAAATTATCCTAACTTCACACCAAGCTGCACAACAAATTCACCCGACATATACTTAATGTCGGCTTATGCAATCAATCAAACCCAAACAACGAACACAACGTCATTCATGCTTTCATTAAATGCACAGGCGGTTGTCACATCAAATCTTGGTGTCATTACCCAAATGCCCGAATCAAATACCATCGAAGCAGAACCACTCATAAGTACACTATTCGAAAAAACTATGTCGGTCAATGTGACAGCCCCACCTTCCACCAGTACACCACTGCAAATGTTTGTGACAGAAAACATAATAGAACCAGACGCAGCCGCACCGTCGGACATCTCAGTGCTAGCAACCACTGACCCATTGAGCGTGCCTGTCACAGCCGACATGACATCACCACCTCCAAGCATTGCACCATTGAATATGTCTGTGGCAGCTGAGATGGCAGAGCCACCCACCAGTGCTGCATCCAACATGTCTCTGCAAAGTAGCATGACAGACCTACCAGATAGTGCTGCAGCATTAACTGTGTCTTTGCCAGCCGACATGACAGCACCACCTCCAAGCATTGCACCATTGAATATGTCTGTGCCCGCTGATATGACAGAGCCACCCACCAGTGCTCAATTGAACGAGTTTCCTTCAACTGACACCATCGCACCACCACCAAGCACCGTATCACAGAACATGTCAGTGCCAGCCAGCATGACAGTACCACCGCCAAGCACTGTACCATTGGATATATCTGTGCTAGCTAACATGACTGAATCGTCTACCAATGTTCGATCCAACACGTTTGTTCCAACTGACATCACAGCGCAACCACCTAGCAACGCACCACTGAACATGTCAGGACCAGCCAACATCACTGCACCATCGCCAACCACTGCACCATTCAACGTATCTGTGCCAACTTACATGTCAGAACTGCCGAACAGTGTTTCATTGAACATTTTTTCGGTGGTGAACATGACAGGACCACTATCAAGCACTGCACGTTTAAACATATCTGTGCTCGCTAACGTGACAGAGCCACCTATTACTGTTCCATTGAACATGTCTCTTCCAACTGGGATGACAGCACCGTCATCAAGTATCGTACCACTGAACATCTCAATGGCTGCCAACATGACAGCACTACCACCAAGCGCTCCACCATTGAATATGTCTCCGTCAGCTAACTTCACAGAGTCATCCACTGGTACTCCAGTCAACATGTCTCTGCCAACTACCGTGACAGCCCTATCGCAAAGCACTGTACCTTGGAGCATGTCTTTGCCAGCCAACTTGACAACACCAACAGGAACTAGTGAAGCTTTGACCGTGTCAATGCCAAGTAACATGCCATCATCGCCAATAAACGTTGCACTATCGAACATGTCTGTGCCAACCGACATAACAGCATTGTCACCCAGCACTGCATCATTTAATGTGTCTTTTCTCGGGAATTTCACAACATCACCACCAGTGTCTGCATCACTGAGCATGTCTCCAGTAGCCAATATAACAGCACCAGCTGCTAGTAGTGCACCATTGAACATGTCTCTCACTGCTGGCATCACATCGCCACCAGTAACCAGTTCATCGCTGAACATGTCTGAGCCAGGGAACACAACAGAACCACTGACCAGTGCCCCATGGAACATGTCTCTTCCAACTGGGATGACAGCATCGACATCAAGTATCGTATCACTGGACACGTCAATGGCAGCCAACATGACAGCACCGTCAACAAGCGTTGCACCATTGAATATGTCTGCGCCAGCTAACATGACGGAATCGCCCACAAGTGCACCGTTGAACATATCTGTAACGGGAAACGTGCCAGCATCACCAACCAGTGTACCATTGAACATGTCTGTGCTAGTTAACATGACAGAGCCACCCACTAATGCTTATTTGAATACGTCTCTACCGGCTAACATCACAGCTCCTCCACAAAGCGCTGTACCATTGAGCATTTCTTTGCTCGCTAATTTGACAGCACCAGTACAAACCGGTACACCATTAAATATGTCTCTGTCGACTAACATGATAGATCCACCGACCAGTGCCCCATTGAACATGTCTCTTCTGATGGGGATGACAGCACCGTCGTCAAGCATCGTACCACTGAACGTATCAATGTTAGCACACATGACAGCAGCATCAACAAACGCTGCACCATTGAATATGTCTGAGCCAGCTAACATGACAGCATCGTTGCCAACTAGTGGAATTTGGAGCGTGCTGGGGCCGGGTAACGTCACAGGACCACCATCAACGGATGCACCATCGGGCATGTCGATGCAAGCGAACGTGACAGCACTTCCGGCGATCGGTGGAGGATCAAATGTATCTGCCGATTCGAATTGGACAGTACCATCGCCGACTGATGTATCATTGAATGGTTCTACCATGTCTATCAGTACAAATACTGTGTTGGGTACGGGTTCATCGAGCGCGGGTGGCATGAGTTCGATGGGAATGCGAAATACGACGATAACTTCGTCGATGTCTGGTCAAGTAGGTTCATCACATCAAGGTTCGGCGAGTGCATCTAATGAAAGCATTCGTAGTGGGATTGCAGGGCAATGGTTCATTCTGGTTGTTGCTTTGATGCTGGCTGGGATGGGTCGCTGACTTTTTTGCTCGAGTGTAGAAAAGTGCGGGGATTGAATTTTCTTTTTAGTTTTTTTTTCTATTCTCGGTTTGGTTCTAAAGTGTCGCAAAGTTAACTTCTGGTTTTATGGAACTACTGCTGTGATTTGTAATTTTTTGTGTGTCGAATAAAGTAGTGGTAATGTGTTGAGAAAGAGATTTGGGGATCGAATAATTTTCCGGTTTTCCTTTGTTTTGATTTCTTTGCTAGGGGATTCTATGCACATAATTAGTGCATGATTTTAATCATGGTGACGTAAAAGAAGATGTCTCCCACATTCTGCCTAATATTGGGGCATTGTGATGAACTTTTGATAGAAAAAATTTAGGCGGATATGAAACTGTCACTATATTTTGTTATGCACGTATTTTTGTTGAAAAGACTGCTACTGGAAAAAATAAGTTCATGCGAATTCATAGCCATAGGAGTTACAATGGAGTTTTGAAAGATCTAGGTTGTTTGGTGGGAGAGACTTATCAAACGTATCGGTTGAATAGTATTTTATGTCAATGGTAGCGTATTATTTAAAATGAGGTGAGGCTGAGAGAAAAATCGCGTTTATCTGAAACAGCTATAATTACTGCTACGCTGCAATAATTGAAACGTGGCCGATGTAATGTGTCAAACTTTTACATCCCACAAGGGATTGCGCTAACAGCTTTTTAAATTATTTCAAATGTTGCATATATTGTATCAAATTGTGCTTGTGTGTACAAGACCTTATTTTACATTCGGACAATAAAGCTGTTCAATCTTATATGTAAATGAACAATATTCACTAAAATAGATACTTACAAGAATAGCGACAAAATTAGTGTCATGTGATTGGTAGATTTGCTCAACATTTGAAACTCGCATAAGTATCGTGACAATAAAGTTACTACTATCAGTTGTTATCACTTGAATGAGATTTCTTGAAGACAAACGTTAAAAGTGTATGATAATTATCATAAACTAACTTCTAGACCAGAGATGTTGGCGGGTTGACCCGTTTGTAAATATTGTATTTCATTCGTTTCATCTTTCATTGTTACCTTCTACTTAGGTTAATTTTTCACTATTCCTCTCATTTCTTCGCTCTTTCTCGGATCTAGTTGTTCTTACTATTTCTTTCACTCTCCAGAATCTAGATTCATTCTATGTATGGTTTTCATTGCATAGTAGTTCTAGTTATTCACCTATTTATTTTAAACCAATTACACATGGAAATGTTGGGAAGTTCTGTATTGATTTAGATTTTATCTATTACCATGATTAAATGCTGTTTAGATTTACGTTTTCTTTAGGAAGAGTACCTAGTGTGAAAATTCATGAAAGAATTCGATTAAAGTGTTCTCTTCAAAAGCCAGAAATATTTGAAAACAAAAAGCTTCCGAAAACTCTTCTACGATTATTTTGAAAGCACAAAAGATATCATTGAAGTACTTAGATCGATTATATATTTATTTGTTGGATGTAAGTTATACAAGTTAAATACGGCGTGTCCCAAAAGTCCCTTCCACTTAAATTTTTTGTATATCTTTGCTATTTAATTTCACTTTATCAACTATTGTTTTTCTAAATGATAGGTAGATACACTGAGTTTTTATTTATAAAGACAAACTTCAGAAGTACTGCTCAAAGCTAAGACTTAGAATCGAAATACAAAAAAGTAGCCTATTTTCTATTCCCAGAAAAACTCATGCATGATATCTGTTCCAATTGGTG